CGCTATTAAAGACCGGATGTTTTCTTTTGCTGGACAAACCATCACAGGGATGTTTCGGCCTTCAGTCGCATTGCGCTCCATGCTACTTTTTCAATAAAGCTTATTTTTATCCCTCTGGTTTCTCTTTTAGTAAGTGTTGCTTACATTACTCATGTCCTTACGTATTGGGGATCTTACAGTATTAAATGTGTTGATTTGGAAAGCTTTTGTACAAAGTTATATTGAAAAAACCATCTCGTCCTTACTTTTTGCACACCAGTGTATTTACATTTTTGATGTTTCAATAGGAAGAAAACAGCAAGCAGCAGTCTATTTTTACAGAGCAGCAGAAGCAAAGTGTATAGTTATTTTAATATGGAAGTTTAACAAGAGAAAGGTTTTGGTTTGCATTGGCCACATTATCATCCTTACATAAAAGTCATGCAATGGATTAATCTAGAAATGACACAGTCCAGAAAGGGTTATTACTATTTTTAGAGAGGGAAAGAGTAGACAGGGAAAATACCATACCCAAATTAAAACGAGGATTTAAGGGGTTATTGCCAATTTCAATTATAATTTTCATTTATATATTTTTTCTTTTACATTTATATGTATAATTCTTTTATTTAAGGATATGAAATGATGCTCTAATCATTCTACAACACTGGATATGATGCATAATTTATACAAGTCAACCCTGAGTTTTGTAATTAAGAAACAATTAAATTCAAATTCAAGAAATTGAATACCTGGAATTTCTTTGCTTACAACAAACATATTGCATTGTTTAGTTATATTTATCAATATTTATCAAAGCATTTTAATTTAAAATGTGTGCAGTAAGCAGGTTTGATAAAGAAAACTTTGCCTTTATTGTGGCTTCAAAAAGTTACAGTTATTTCAAATGAATAAAGCCAAAACAAACTTACTGAACAAAACTTATCAGATTTAGAGTTTTCTAAAAAATATATGTAGCACCACATGGATGAAAATTTGCACCTTCAAAGTTTAAAAGATGCAGTGATATTACTAACTCACTCACTGAGCACAAAACAAAAACAAAAAACAAAAAAAAAAAAAAAAACCCTCCAACCTATAAACTTGCTGTATGGTTTTCTCAGGCCCTTTATTTCAACCTCATAAACAAAGGAGAGCAAAAAGCAATGCAGCTACTGCTGTATTCTAAAAAATTATTCCACATGGTTCTAGATTCACAGGAATCCACATCTGAAACTTCTAAACTGAAATTGGCAAACGTCACTAATTTCACAACAAATAGCTTCAATTCTACCTGTGCTATTTATAAAATATTAAGAAGTATGTCACAAAACTGCATTGCAAAAATAAATAAATAAAAATTAAACATGAAAACGCACAATAATTATTCACAAAATAAAAGCTATACAAGATATGTATTTATAAAAAATTGCAATAAAATACAAAATGAATAATTTTTTTAAAATCCTTCTACAAAAAGTAGAAACCGACACAGACAAATACTTATATAGATTAAAAATAATATAAAAAATCTACTTATCAATTATATGAATGGAATGTATACGGATAATAAGTGTCAGGTACAGAAATCACACATCACTCAAAATAAAAAAAAAATATATTTACCATTAAAAAAAAAAAAAAAAAGAGAGAGAGAGAGAAAAAAGAAAGAGAGAGAGAGAGATTAACTACTTTCTTTTTTTAAAAAGTATCAACTTCTCCCCTTTTATTTTCTCTTTGGCACAATTTATTCCAGTCCAAGAAAATATATATTTCCCAAATGCATTAGAAAATCATAATCCATGGAGAAAATGGAGAATTTTAAATATGGAAATTATGCTATATATTATAATATGAAATGCAAGTGAAACAAGTAAAAAATACACAGAACTGGAGTATTGTAAGTAAAAATTGGCCAGACATAATTCACAATTTAAAGTGAGGTAAAAAAAATTTTTTTTCACTTAATTTTAAACTTTAAGTTACCAAGTTTCTCTTCCATTTAGATATTTCAGAGAGAGTTCTAACTTTATCTTCTTTTTCAACTGCTAACAAGAAAATGAAACTCAAAATCATATGCTGAGGCACAAATATAGAAAAATACTCAAGTGCTATAAAAATACCAAAAAGATAAAAGAAACATCTACTGGCATTTAAGTGAAAAATTAAAACTGAATATCAAACTGTCTCAAGCAGGGTTCATAGCCACATTTTAGTTAAAAAAATAAGCACCTATAAGCACTTTTCCAGCACTTTTAAGAAAAAAAATAAGCACCTGTCTAATTACATTATACACAACTGCATAACCTTTAGACTCGTAATTTAAAATATGAGAAGTGCAGTATTTATTAAGAGAGAATAAGCATTACCTTCAAACCATGAAAAATAATTACTTTTTTTAATTTTAAATAACAGTTCAATTTACAGAACTAGTTTACAATGAGAGAAAAAAAATCTATGCTGAACTAAACTATATTACAAGATTAATGATGAAACTTCAGTTCAAAATAGAGTAAATAAATAATAAGATAAAGGCAGATTATATTCTATTCGATTGGAACTTAATAATAAATACAATTTATTTTTGCACTCATATTGCTATTTAACTAATTTAAATCTAAATTCTGAACATTTTCTAAATTTTCATCGTATATCAGATTTCCCTCAACAGATATTGCAAGCAAAGTAATTTAAGTAAAAAAGAGGAACATTTCTGAAATCAGAAGACAGAAATTTGCTTCATGCAGTCATCCTTCCACAGTAAAAGCTTAACTACCCGCATACTTGAAAATTGGTGAATATTCGGACAGTCGAGCGTAACTTGAAAAGAGGAGCGGAGCTGTTCTTTAGATTTTTTCGCTAAATAAATGCTTTTGACATTTCAATATGTGAATCATATAAAAATAAACCAACGGAACAGAAAACTATTGTGCTTTGCAAGCACAGTAAAACTCTCTTAAGTGTTCAAAACAAATCTCGGACCGAACATCAAAATTAATTCTCTGCAAAATATGGCAAACGTTATTGCGCAGTACGTGCGCCGTAATTCTTCCCCACATGATATTACGCAATCGGATTCAACAGCTGCCGGTATTGGGAGAATAAAGAACTAAATAAAGGAAAAGAAAGAGACTTACCAATCTGGGGTGTTTTTCACTCTAATTTTCAACAGACTGCGTTAAATTTCCGGAACAGAATCATTCTTCACTTGGGTTGGTAGACTGCAAAACTTTTAGTCCTATTCAATCCAGATTGGAAAGTGACAAAAAAAAAAAAAAAAAAAAAAAAAAAAAAAAAAAAAAAAAAAGAGTCCATTGTTTGTTTTGCAGCGAACTGTAACAATTTCAATATTCGAGATTTTGCGGAGAAAGGTGAGAACTTCCCAACCTTCGTACTGTATAATGTATTGGCCAAAAAAAATGAAATTATTTTGACTATTCGAATATTTTCCCTTTATTTAAGCCATTCCGAATATTATTCCTTAGAAAGCTAATCTGTGTTAAAACACAACCATTTTTAGAAGTTTCCTATACTTCAGCAGTTACTGCAATTGTGTTATTATAAACATTCATACATATGCTCATAATATAAGCATAACGGTCATAATAAACACGAATATGAACTGACCAAGCGGAACGAGAATGCAAATTATTAAGATCTTGATAGAAATTCAAACGTGTGTAGTATTTGGGTGGGAGGAAAGGAAGGCCGAATGTACCATAATTTTCTACTGCTTTCGCAATTCTTTGACCAACAGAATAACGGGCACCTGTCTGTACTCTCCGTGCACACCAAAGGTTAAGTTAATACTGACGTTCCATATTGGGAAGAAAAGTTGTTTATTTAGTTTCAGCTTTGGTACGGGGAAAAATTGCGCGTTCATTTAAAAAAAAAAAAAGCACTAAAAACAAAAAATAAGCACTAAAAACAAAAAAATAAGGGCTTTAAAGAAAAAGTAAGCACCTATAAGGGCCTTTATATTTTATTTTCAAATATAAGGACTTATAAGCACTTATGAGGACCACTATGAACCCTGTCAAGGCAAAGATTGATAAAAGTTATGAGTTTAAGTTATTAACCAGACTTTCAATTTGGAGGGGAAAAAAGAGAGAGAGAGAGAAATCTGAAAGTATAATTTTCAATCAATGATTTACAATATTTTTTTCAAGCATAAGCTTTATGTTCCTTGATGTGAAATTTTAAAACTGAATATTAAGCCACAACCCCAAAAATATAAATACCCCAAGAGTTACAAATTAGTTATAGATTTGAAATCATGCATATTACAAACAAAATCCTAATAACACAGAATAAAAATTTAAATTCAATATATTAGCAAAACAATATTACAACAAATTGGACATTTGAACATTAGCAACATTTAACAACTGATGTATTGATATAACATTCAGAAAATAATGTTATCACAGAATAATATAAACCTGAAAAAAGAAATACATATTATATTTTTTGTTTCATTCCTCTTTATTGATCAAATACTTGTTTTCTACTTTTCTAAAATAATCCTGGATACAATTTTAGTTGATAAACTAAGATTGCTAAGTTCTGACTTCTTTCAAAATCTACCTTAGTTAATGGTTCTGATTTTAAACTTCACTTATTAATAGCCAGGCAAGTTATGATTTAAAACTCAACATACTAATGCCCAGACACTTTCCCATTTTATCTTCAACAAAAATATTATTTACATGATTTTTTTAACTTTGAAACTTTAAACTAAATGAGAAGAAAGGGCAAATAAAACCTTTTGAAATATAATTTTTATGTTTTAAGCAAAATTTATGCAAAGTTTATTGTTTTGTTATATTTATTAACACTCTAAAAATTATGACACACATCTGCATTTCATTCTTTGTCTTATAATAAAAATATATATTGTAAGATATTTTGTCCTCTTAATTTAATTGCTCTGTCACTCAATCAGTTAAGCAAAAATTTTTGAAAGCCACGTAAAATTACAATTTGCAAAAGTTCAATATGAACTAAAACAAAAAACTCACCTGTTGGTTTAAATGGTAAAAACTGCAGATGACGGAACAGAAAGTCATGGGTAGATCTCAAATATCGTAAAGTAGGACCAGATGTATCTTTATTTGTACAAAGCACATAAATCAATTGGTAAGCTAGTTCAGCAGAATGTGGTGAATTGTATATATTTGAAGGATAATTTCCCGAGTAACTTCCATAATCTAAGAATGACAAAACAGCATGCAAGCAAGTTCGCTTTGATCCCATCACACCTAAAATTAATGCAAATTTTCAGAATTAAAAATGTAAGCAAAATCATAAAAGAAACTGGACATACTTATTTTAGATGTGAAATCTAAGTGATATCAATAAAAAAAAGAAAATTTAATTAGTATATATAAAAGTAACAAAGTTAATTACTAAACAATTTTTAACCCTCTAAGCGGCAAGGCAAATATTGAGAAATATATACGGCCTAGAATATTTTTTGTGATATCTGTAAGAACATATACATATGCACATATTAAAATATGTCACAGAAATTAACGCAATATATCAAAAGCACACAAATCCAGGTATGAAACACCAGGAGAGATTTTACATTAAAATAAAAAAAATAATTTGTTCTTATAGTAGTTTTGGGAAATTTGTGCTTTCTTGCAAAAACACAAAAAAACCCTGGTTAAGAGAAAACCCTGGCTGCTCAGATGTTTAAACTGAGAACTATTACAAACAGGTTTTAAACTGAGAATAATAACAAAATTTCAATTTGAGATAGAAGACTATAATTACTAGTTTAATTGGTATCAATAATAAATGACTACAATTCTAATTACATTAACTAATAATGAAATGTCATTTGACAGCAATCTGCCTAAAAGGAGGGATGATGCTTTTCAATTAGAAGCTCGCTTGTATTTACATTACACATGGGAAAAATGATATAAACCACAAAGAACCAAATATGGATTATATTACTAACATGCCATGACAAGGACAGTCAGACTTCATGTCAGCAAGAATTACACACTAGAATTTAGGAATTACAAATTTATATCATTTTAAAAATGGTAAAATTGTTTTAAAAACAAATTAACTTCAAATTATACTAACAATTTTGCACTTTTAATTACTAAAGAGTAATAATAACTACTTTGCTTGCTTCATCTCCAGGGCACTACAGGTCAATCATATTATCCTGGTTGCTGAGCTAGCAATCTTTGGTCCTTTGTCTTTTCAATCAAGTTTATTCAAAACCTCGTGTAATATTAGATATTTACTTTGTGGGGTCGCCTATCTTTTTTTTTTTTTTTTTTTTTTGTTAGTACAGATACAAGCAAACAATTTAGGTAGTAGTAAGAAATTGAGAAATTTTTTACGGGCAGACTTGCTGCCTATTACAGTCATCAGGTCTGGGACCTGGCTAGTTTGCTTTTAAAAAGTTGTTTGCATCATGGAAATGTGTTATGATCTTGCATGCTGCTTTCTGACTGTAGAAGTCCTGAGGGAGAGCCCTAAGGCTGGAACAGCGAAGAGACCCGAAATGTCGAGATCTGAGTGGTGCCACAAGTCTGATTTAATGGGCCACATCTGCTAGATAAGTCGAGTATCGCCGGTTGCATCCTGATGGAAGAACTGTATGAGGTAACTTGGAAATCTCCCATGGTTGGTAAAGATTTGTTGGAGAAAGAAGTCAATCTTGAGCTGACCTGTGGAGACTTCCAGAAAGAGAACGTGCCTGCCTGTGTCCAAGTGTCCCACCTCACCTGCCAGAGCTCTAGGTAACCTGGGAAGATCTTATGTTCCATGGCCTCTTTTGAGCATGGTATGCCGATTTTGATATGCTCTGTGGCTTGGTTTTGCAAGACTATCTGCTCTTTCATTTATCCTCATTCCCTGATACTCTCGTACCAAGTTAACCGAGATTTGCCTGTTAGTGGTGAAGGAACCTAGCACTTCCTTCAGGGAGGAAAGATGAAGGATGATGGAACCTTTCTTATTTAGACTCTGTAGTATGATCATGCTGTCTGTGTAGATGATGGGAGAGAGATCAGTGCTATAAGCCGAGAGAACTGCTTGTTTAGAGCTAGATATTCAGCTTGAAATATAAGGCGTGATTTCTGAGACTAAAGCACTTTGAGTGGATTTTTCTGATTTTCTAGAAAAATTGCATTAAGCTGCTCCGACTTGGTTTGAATACTTAGACCCATCTGTAAAGATTTATAACCCTTTCCATGTTGGTAGAAGCATTTTCCAAGCAAAGTCTTGTGCCTAACTTGTACAGAGATGTGCAGCACTGGGGCTTTATGGATCGCCCATCTATGACTAGTGTATCTATGACTAGTATAAGTAGCTAAAGAGTAAGTACAAATTAATAGTTCTTGTTACTCATTCACTATATTTAAGAAAATATGTTCTTACAATGCACAAATTTTAAACTTTTATATGATGCACTCAATACTCTTTTATAAGATGGAAATCAAATATTTTCTACTGCTTTGAAATCTAGCCACCCCCATTATAATTGTCAATGGATTTATTTGAACATCAGTACATTTAAAATGAAAGAAGAGGATTTGGGTTTTAAAATAATGTAAAGTTTGGTTTATCTGATCATGGCAGAAAACATGAAGGCTATCTGCCTCAAAGAGGAATGCCTTCACGGAAGAATTTTTTAAGGTAAATTGGTGTGTGTTCACATTACACACAAGGAAAATCCCGAAAAAAAAATTAGAAGACTTCATTATTTTAACAAATGAAGAATAATGCATTAATTTGAAAAACTCAAGTAGCAATTTTTGTTTTTAATCCATATGCACTCCTCTGAACAGAATGAAACAGAGCAAAGCATGCTTTGGGAAAGGGGGGTAAACCAGGTTGATATCAGAAATGATTAAAAAATAACTTGCTAGCTCATTACAATGTTTTTTTTTTTTTTTTTTTTTTTTTTTGGAGGGGGGATAAAAAAGGAGTTTAATTTTCTCATATAATTAACGTAAAGCCCAACATAAGGTAATCAAATCTAGCTTTAAGCCATTAATTAAGTCACAAGATACAAACTAGATCAGCAAGATAGTCATCGCTTCTTCCTAATGCAATTTACTAATATAAGGAAGGTTATTAAAACAGATTTGAAGAATCTCATGGCTGAGCACTATATTGCAAATGCTCAACATTTTTTCTGTTTTCTCAACAACCACTATCTCTATTTTTACTAAAATCTGCAACTTAAGATATTTTGACCTATCTATCATTAAAGCAGTTGAAGACAAAATTTTGAAAAGCACATAAAATTATAATTTGCAAATACAAGTGGCAGAAACAGAGTTATTTGTTTCTCTATTCCATAATTTGATGATAAGTACTCCAAGCAGTTTCAAACTGCTTAAAATTATTCAACACATAATGTAATTTAAGGCATTAAATTATTAAGCAAAAAAAAAGGGGGGGAGGGCATGTTGCAGCAAAATTTTTCCAGCCGCTCAGCTACTGCTGAACCTATGAAGAGACTGAAACTTGATGCATGACGGTGGTGGATTTTCTGGAGCAAAGTCTTGAAAGGTTATATTCGCCAATTTGAAATATGGTAATGCCCATTATATAAGGCATGTAACATAGCACACATATTTGACACACACGAACATTTGTTATTAATAGAGAATTTAAACAGCATTCTTTAAATTAAAAAACATTTAGCATTTTGAGCTAAAATAATTATTAATAAACTAAACAGCATAATTTCCCTATAATTTTGAAGATACAGATTAACAAAACCTGTATCTTAGCATCTACAGTAATAAGATCAATTTACAAGAAATTTTCATAAAATACTATGAAGATCCAATATTTTTAAAGTACTTATAATTTAAAGTAATTTCACTACTTAAACCATTATGCTTAATCTCTAGATTACAGGACATATTTTTCATTCAAACTCTGAAATTTAATTGCATTAGACTAAAATATAGAATTGATACTAAAAGCATTTAAGCCCAAAGCTATTCTGCATATGAACATGATGAGGGTGAAGTAAATGAGATAAATTTAGCTCAGTTAAAAAATATTGGAACCCCAACACTAAAATACAACAAATTAAATATTTATGCAAGTTATAAAATAAAGAGCATATGGGGGTACAATTTTTAAGATTTACTTCAGGCATTAAATCTGTTGTCAAGATTCTTGAATTTTCATTTGCCAGGTTATGAAAACATGAGGGGAAAAACATAAGCTTTGAGCTTAAGATATGAAAAAAAAAAAAAAAGCATGAAATAAAGCTCTTACATACTGAAATATTTAAATTATTTGTACTTCATCTTATAAATCAATGCTTCTGAACTTAGGGTATGAATTTGAAACTATAGGGGTATAATGAAAAAATTTAAAAGTGGTAAAAGGCACTTCCATCAACATTGCAAGACTTGATCAAAAGTTTTTATAATGACAAAGAACTTTTTTTTTTCTCTCCGAAAAAAGGAGCAAATTTTAAAAACCAGAAAATCCTTGGTCTTTTTCTGTGTAATTTTAGTGGATATCAGAATGTTCCAGGATTAGCCTATCTGCTCAAGAGTTACAGCATACGAACTGGAAAGAAAAGCAGCAGTATCAATGGCAAACATTTTGCTGGCTGATATAAAGGATAATACTGTTTATGAAAATGGGCTGTCAAGGTGTTTAAGTGAAAATAGATTACAATCCTAATTTAGAACATTCATAAATAAAGTTAGAACATCCAAATAATAATAACTAAGGGATGTACTTTCAAGAGACTTGCAGGTGTGAGATGAGGATGCAGCAGATATGCTCTTAATTTAACCTTTAAAATCTATTAGACCTATTTTAATTTATTGCTGCGAGCCTCTTATAACATGAAATAAAGAGATAATGAATAAATTGGAAGCTGCTTAAAATTAAGTCCTGAGACTGATTACTGGGACAGTTAAAATCACTCCAATTCAGGCTATGTTATTGGTTACAGATAACAGACCAATAGAAGAGATTATTCAGGAAAAGGCCCTGTGTCTTTATGAAAAATTAAATCATCTTCCAGGTAACATCTACTGAAGAAATTATGACATTAAGAAAAAAGAGAGGGAAAGAGATTAAAAACACAGACAGGTCCTATCTAGATAATCCTGATAGTAAAAGAGAGACTCGATATCCTTCCTGCTGCTGAAATTTTTCAAATCAATTAGACCCTTGGTGTGTTAGTTGTTTGGAGGGTGGAGTATACTTGATCCAACCCGTGCATAAGAAAATTACAAGAGAACTGGACTTGAGAGCTATTGCTCTGAAGACTATACATAACAACTATCCTGGTCAAGACTAGTTGCATACATATACGGGTGGATCCTGCCTGTCTCAGAATGGAAATACAGGAGCTGGTGTCTTCTCTGACTTGTTTGCATTCTATTCATCTCTTGGCCCCTGTACCATTTCATTTGATGGAGAGGTGGAGGCCATTAGGTTAGCTTCTCAACAACTGCTTACTAGTTGTGAGAGTTTTGATAATGCTGTTATTTTGTCAGATTCCATTTCTGCAATACAGGTTATTATCTCTTTGAAATCTGCCAACTCATGAAGTATTAAAGACTGTTTATCTAATTTAAGTATGTAACAAACCTTACATAAAAAAGTTATTTTACAATGGGTTCCGGCTCAATGTGCAATATTTGGTAATGAAATGGCCAACTTTTTAGCTGAAAGAGGAACCAAAATCCTACAGATTCCATTAAATCCTATCCCTTATTCTACCGTAGTGTGAGTAATAAAAGAACGCATGAATAATGACTTTTGATCCAGGCAAACAAAGCAAATTAAAGAAAAGCGTTGCAAGGATTCTATTTTAAAAATACCTGCTGCCCTAAGACAAATCGCTGGTCCACTCTTTCGGTTAGAGACTGGACATGATTGCCTTGTGGGTCATTTATTTAGATTTGGCATCTTTTTGCACACTAACTGTATATTATGTGGAAGAGACACTGCTACTGATGCTTCTCATCTTAAGGAATGCCCTAAAGTGACTGGACATCTATATGATAGATACTGGCTGGCAAGAGAGAGGCTTCACGATCTTAAAGACCCATTCACATGCAATGCTCCTTCGCACAGCTGCTGTTAGCAAGAGGAGAAAAAGGAGACATGAAAGAGTTTCATCTTTAGGACCCATTCAGAAGACCGCAGTCTTCCTTTTCTTTATACCTAAGCCTCCGTGAACAATCCCGTCTCTGAATTGACCGATTTCTAATACTGTTTACACATTTTTACCATTGTTTAGTGTTGTTAATTTTGTAATCTATACTTTTGGAACTGGTACCTGAACTTTCGTAATGGTTCCTGAAAAATATATGCTTTTTAATTATTATTATTTTATAAGCTGTTATTTAGTTCACTCTTGGTGCTTGTCGCTATGGTTAAAAGATGGTAATGGATTTTTAAACTGCTTCCCGATAAGATATAGAACTCAATCTTTGTACAGTACACTGCTTGTGGATGTGGTGTCACGCTTTTGATTTTTAGAGGATTAGATTCTTTTTCAAATTTAAAGCTTGAAACGATTTTTATTTTGCAAATATTAACAAATAAACTGAATCTCAGAATATTATAGTTTGCACCATAACACAAATTTGTACATACACTATGGAGGAAAAAAAAATTAAATGAAATTTTTAGCGTAATTTTTTTAAAAATATTTTGGGAGAAATTTTTGAAAATCGTTCATATTTTTAGACATTTTTGACTCACCATTAATTTTTAAAATTTCATATCTAAAAATATATCGGTTACAAACTTCCGACATTTTCACAGCTTATATACTTTTCGCATTTAAAAAAAGTGATAAAGGAAATTAATTGGATGATTTGTTTTTACTTTTTTAAAAGATATGCAATGAAGTAGAATGGGAAATATTGGTTCTTCTTGGGCATCAGTTTGAAACATCGGTTTCAAAGTAATAATCTCATTATACCACACTATTTTTATGACATTATTTATACTATATAAGTTGTTATTGCTGCCAGTTGTTAGTTCAACAAAACGAGATTGGAGATATTTCTGAGTTAACTTTCTCTTAAGATGCGTTTTGCATTCCGTTGTGTTTAACTTTCTTATTAGATTGAAGCATAACTACTGATTATACTTAGTGATGGTGTATTGAGATTACGGCAAAGCACACTAGGGCTATCTGCCTAAGGGGGGATGCCTTCGTGGAGGACTTTCTAAGGGAAACTGGCTCATATACACGCTACACGTGGGGAAAACCATGAAAAAATCCATGCAGCCAGACTGTTTGCAGGATTTGAACCTCGAACCAAACTACCAGTGTTCAGCGACTTTACCGCTCGGCCGCTGGTGGGCTATACTTAGTGATATTCTAAACACTTGTACAAGTATTTCTGTGGAAAATTTGAAGTGTTTCTGTTGATAAAATAAATTTAATTAAGCTATCATCGGATTTGAGTGCAATGACAATCATTTATGAACTATTATCAATCTATTACAAACCTGCATGCACGGAACAATATTATAATTAATTAATGTATTAAAATTGTTTTGAACGTGTTTTATAAAACAAAAACAGGTAAAGAAAAATTCTCCTTGCATTTTATGATTTTTTGCAATTTTTCTGGCCACATAAGGTTTTAAAAAAAGGTTTGTAATTCATGTTTATATTCACCAATTGAATAAATAGTACTAGGTTTGATTTATATATATATATATGTGTGTATTGAAATTCAGTAATAAAATTTTAAGGATTTGAAATGATTAAATGTCTATTTAGACAGTTTGTATTCTTTAAACTGCAAATCCAAACTGAGAAACCTTTTGCATTTTTTTCGATAAATCCTTTTACTTAAAGTCTTAAAACATATACGGGTATGGATTAAATTATTTATTATTTACTACTTATTTAAAATTATATACTTTATAGAAACAAGGATGGGTTTTGCAAAATACTGAAAAGAAAAATTATTTGAAATGAAAATGCGACCGAGATCATATTTGTTTTAAAGATTTTAGATCATTAATTGCAAAATCATTCCTTGAAGTTATTAAAATACTCTAATAAATACAATAAAAAAACTGGGGGAAGACATTGAAAATTGTAGGAGAAGAAAGACATTTTAATTGTAAAATTTTTCTTCAAAAATTTTAATTAAAAAAATTACTAGCAAAAACTTTTTTTCAGCTTAAAATTATTTTGTCTTAAAACTATTTAATAATATTCATGAAAAGTAGATGAAAATGCTTAAATTTTTTTTTTTAAAAAAATCATTCAAAAGGTACTGAGTCCCTTGTCGCAGTGAAGCCAATATGCACTTAATTTCAGTTTTAATTTGAATGATATGTCTGGAATAGCTAGCATCAGATAACCTTGTCTGTATTTGTTTATAATTTCCGTATCTTGTACAGTTCTATCTAATTTTGGGGAGGATGCTAACACAACTAGACATCTATCAGCGCGATTGTTTCGTTAACAGTCCAGCGAGCAGTAACTAAAATTAAGTGAACCGTGCAGTATAGTACGGGAAATCTCCCCATTTGCCCTGCTCCTGAAAGGTAAGGAACATTCAACCAAGTTCTACCTTCAATTCGGCGAGGCAGTTAATGCTTGTTCCCACGTGAATGGGACACATTGGAAGAACCGATTTCCGCTGTCGGTCGAATCTGCTCTTGTGAATGGGGCTTTAAACTGTTTGACTTTTCCTTCTGACCAATTTATGTTTTAAATTTTTTCATTCTGTTCTTTCCATGTGTTTGTTCCGAATATACTTGTCACACTCTAGTCAATGAATTGTATGTTCAAGTGCTACTACTAAAAATAATAATAACTAAGGAATTGAAATGTGCTCTTAAATTTAGAAATACTAAGATAGGCAAAACAATGGAAACACCCGAGAAACTGCTATCACAAATTTCGAAGTTAGAAATACTGCAATGTGGAATTTTAATGACTTTTAAATTACTTGGAATTTGAACTGATTTTCAGTTTCTTACCAGGACTTTACTGTAAGGCCATTTGGGGAAATCAGTGAAGGTATAGAAATTAAATAATATGTAAGTCACTTACTCCCCCAGATATTCAATACAAGGTTCTATCATTTTGTAGAGTTCAAGTAAAACCAACAAACGAATATGAGATCTTGCATTCTCCCTGTTAAATATTAATAAAACTTTGAGTGGATTTAGAGGAGGGGAAAGAGGTTTTTTGGGGGGATCTACAAGTGGTTAATACTAATATTTGCTTAATGATATAAAAACACTATTCAGAAAATTATTTCTATTGTACACAGGTTACACGTACAAAGAAAAAAATAAGCCAACATTAACAGTTCTTACCAGGCTCTTGGATTTCTGTTTGTGCAATAGGTTTTCGCAAATTAAAACCTAGCAAATAATGTGAAAGATTTGGACCAGGATGTTTCAGGCACTTCAAAAGCAGTTGTAGTAATTGTTCCTGAGCTTTACTTCTGGCTTGCAAGGTTTTGTCATCTACAAAACATGCATAAATTTTTGATAATTGACCAAAAAAAAATTCCACTAATTCAAAAGTTACATCATTTTCAAACAAAGAATGCATGTCAATATTACTTTTTAAAATAAAAATATATAGTCCCTATTTAAGACTATTGAAAATTATAGCTAAAACAGGGCATATAAATAATTAACCATTAAACTTTTTAATGTTTTAAGTATATGCAAAATAAAAATATCACTGTCAAGAAATATTTAATTAAAAAAAATTACATCTGCATTCAAATATATGCTGGGCATGAATAAACATTCAAATATACAGATCAATTACATTTAATATATCTTTTCCCTAACATAAACATGATTATAAATAATCTTTTAAAAATAATAATTTCTACAGTTAAATATTACATATACCTTGAAATGCCATTCATAATATTAGAAAGCATTCCATTTTGATCAGGATGCCCTTAAGATAGAATAACATTTTTATGAAATTATCATGCGATTAAAAACTAACCTTCATAATCATCAGCAGGAACATCAATTTCAAGTATTTCAACAAAGCCTTTTAATAAAGTTTCACTTTCATTCTGGAAATAAAATATTATTTTAAAATTCACTACCTGCAACTGCTAGTTAATTCAGATTAAAACAATTGTTTTAAGTAGCATAACAAAGATCCAGTGACAATACTTTTGTCTATTTTTAGAACTTACTATATTGCTGTCGAAAACCCTGACTAGATGTTGGGCTATATGAATAGATGAGCACAAGGCATATAATATACTTATGGAATATAAGCTGTGCTGAGGTATAAAAGCATTATACGTGACATACCTAAAATGAGAAAACATAAATAAAATGTGCAAAGTTAAAACAATAAGATTAAGAAACTTTTTTGCATGGATAATATTGGAGATGACTAACCAGCATAAACGTTTTTCTACTTTTTCTGTTTAAGAATGTAGTAAATAATATAAAAACAAAAAATTGTTGCCTTTAAAATAAATAATAGATAACATTAGAATAGATAATAGGTATTAGATTATAGGAATTAGATTTAGAATAAATAATAGATAACATTATTCAAATTTTGTAACTGCAGTATTTAAGACTAAATGCATTATTAAAATACATGTTCATACAGTTTCAAGAAATAAAATTGTCCAATACAATAGTCCAATGAAGAGTAACCTAAAAAATCAACTGAATTTTTCTTGGTATTCCATTTAAAAAGATGACTGGCTGTTTCTATGAGACTTTTGACATCATGAAATGAAAAGTAGTGATATTCGTGATAAGGCTTTCAATATTTTCTTACAAAAATTCATGCTCTCTTATATAAAATATAATTTAGTTATTAAACTGCAACAACAACAGAAAGTAATCTAGGATAATGAAAAGATGCTACCAAAAAGGACATTAATATAAAATGCAGCATTTACTGTGCCTGAATATCACAAGAAGTCATTTTCAGCTTCCTTTATCCAATGATTCAAAATTCTAACAAAGTATGACATAAACTGCATATAATTTTTAGACACAGAATATAGCACAAATTGTGATTAATTTTGAAGGAAGGATTGTTAAGCAAAACACCCAGTACTTTTAAACCCGCTTTTGATCAAACTTGTGTTTAAAATTGCATATAAAACGTTTACAGCTAATGAATGCAATTTATCCAATTTAACATCTGATGCTTACACTTTCTTGAAACTAACAAAACTCACACTTCATTCATATTCAAAATAAATACATATCAGCATTTTTCTTACAATCTTACTTCTACTGTACAAACTGCTTCTACTGTACTTACAATCTTACTTCTACTGTTGAAGAGGGAAAGTACAGAGAATGTAATTAAATTATCTAAATATTATGTCTTGACATACAAAGCAAATGTTTTCTTTTAAAGTAAATTTAAATGCTGTGCAGTTAACTGTCTCAACATGCTTTTTAATTAGTAGTTGTATATGTAAGACAATTTTTGTTTTCAGAATGGTATTTTAATAAAATTATCATGTTCGAGCAGTGCAGCAATCGAAGCATAGGAATTCCTAGTTTCGATAATTTATACAGCCTTCAATAAACTGTTTAAAAAATCATTTTAGAAAATATCAAATACAGAATTTCTTCAGTGACCAAATCTAGCATTTATACAAAAGGGAAAATGATTGTGTTACTGAGAGTACAAACTTAATACAAAAACTAAGGGATAAGGAATAAAATTTCCCACAAAGAGTCGAGGAGCACCATCTTGCATATACACAGTGTCATTAAAAACATTTCATTGCTGCAATCTGGAATAATGTAATTCTGCAACATTGTTGTATACCAAGCACTTGAGATGGAGCATGTTTTCGTACCTAAGTAAGTTACCTTGTAAGGATCTTAAGTTTTACTAACGTTTATTTTATTTTAAATCTTTACTATCACTTCTTATTTTCTACTTCCGGCCAGAATTATAAGCGTGAAGGAGTTTATGCAAAGTTGTCTGGCGAACGCCAAGTATTTAAGTGTGGCCTTTTTGCCAAGCAGAAGAGAGGAAGCCGTGAGTTCGAAGCAGGCCGCTTACCTTAGAAGTTACGCAGTTGCTACTTTGCCTTCCAGGCCAGAGGTTTTAATCCTCTTGATAAATTAAACGTATTGTAGTGTTCACAGTCTCTGTGCTACATACGCTTCCTGTTATTATAAGGCCAATCTTATTCTAAAGTTAAATTAGAGTTTAGTTTTATTTGATATCTTTTTAAGTTAGACCCCGAGTGGAGGGTCATTGTATTCCGAAGTACGGAAGTCATTGTATATAAAGAAAAGAAAAAAAATAAAGGGTTTTGTATACCCTTCGTCTGTATCCTGTCTACTTACTACAATTAGTGAACATAGCTTTAGTAAGCTCTGTGTTCTAGTCAGGTCATTGTATGTTTCCGAAGAAGGTTAGAGTTAGAAGAAACATTGAACCTGATAGTGGCGCCCGACGAAGAATAACCATGGCCGAGTTTCAAGAAGAACCTGTGCTGTGCCTGCAGAAGAAAGAAACGAAGCTCAGAATCCAGAAATGCCAGCTGCCGCCCTGGAAGGATTTGGGTATATTGTCCAGACCATGCGCGCTTCGATGATGAAACCAGAAGCAACGTTTAATGGAAACTCACAGGTAACCAGTTTTTTGGAAAAATTGGATGACCACTTCATGCTCTAACCCCGTGCACGAGTTTCAAAAAGTTACCTTAGCTACCAGCGCTTTGAGGGGCCAAGCGCAACGCGTTTTAACTGGTTCAAATGTATCGGCAGAAGTCTCTTGGGTCAAGCAGGAAGTCCCACCTATACTTACGAAAAATTTCAAGACTGCCCTACTAAAAGCCTTCCCTGTTGTAAGGGATCGTGCGAAATTAGAAACAGAACTTTTCAGTATATATCAACAAAGAATGGAAAACCTCTCGAGTTTTTTTTTTTAAGAAAAATTCACGTTTTCAAGCTCTTGTATGGAAACCGTCCGGATCCTGAAATAATTCAAGTGATTTTGCCGAGGTTACTACCCCAAGTGCAAGACTTTATTGAATTGAGAAATCCGACTACACTGGAAAAAAATTATTTGAGCTAGCAATCCAGTTTGAAAGTAGAAGAACGGCGGACGTCGAAAGAAGACGCCAATATCAAACAGCGAAACCAATTTGGTACGCCAAGACTACAGCAAACTCAAGCACATGGCTACGAGAGAAAAAGCGAATCAGTGGGCAAGGAAACCCGAGAGCATTCAAAAACAGCCGGCGAACGTCGACAGTTCAATAGCAACCCAGGAAAAAAGTCTCAAGGCCAGTGGAGAAAGAAGGAAAGCACCGAAAGAAAAAATAATTTAAACTAAAACGGATTTCTGCTGACGAGAGGGTGCGGAAATCCGAAGGCCACGAAAACCCCTCTTCCTACAAGTTAAATACAGTAATGGTGAAAAATTTAAACTCTTCCGAAGATTGAAGTCTTGGTGAATAATATCCCGGCCACCGCACTCCTGGATACCGGCGCGCAGTGTTTCCTGTGTGGCAGAAAGTCTTTTTTAGAAAGTATTTTCACAAATACCGCATATATAATACGGATAATACAACAGTATTAGCGGCGCAAGGAGAACAATGTAAGTGCGTAGGTAAAGTACCTTTGTACATCCGTATCAATGACGAAACAAGTAAAGGTGATGTTTTTTTTTTTTTATAGTAAAGAATTTGCAAGCACACTTAATACTAGGAATAGACTTTCTTTCAGACGCACAAGCTACACTGGATTTTAATGAAGCGTCTCTTAAGCTGACGATGAAACCAGTGCGTGTAGGAAAAGGTTGAACCGCCGAGGTTAAATCTTGACCACCTGCCTAATGACGAGCAAGATAGAATCCGAACAAGTGGTAAGTGAATTTGCTTCCTTATTTAGTGATATTCCAGGATTTTACCCAGGTTACTAACCAAATAGTATTGACACCGGAGATGGCATTGCCGGGTTCGTCAAAAACCATACCGGTATGATATAAGAATAAGGAAAAAATTATAGAATGGCATATTACCGATATGCTACGTAAAAAGATCGTAACGCCTATCTCAAGTAGTTATGCTAGTCCGTTGGTTTTATGGTTTATGTAAGAAAAATAATGATTATCCTTTGGAGCATCCAAAAAGGTGGAGATTCGTTATTGATTACCGTAAATTAAATTCCATAACGAAATATATCCGGTATATCCGTTACCGATTATAGAAGAAATTTTAAGGAACATAAAATCAACCAAATTTATGACAACTTTAGACTTAACGAATGGTTATTTTCAAATAGGGATCAGGCCTGAGGACGTGCCTAAGACTGCTTTTATAACCAAGTCTGGCACTTATGCATTTTTGCGAATGCCGTTTGGCCTTTCAGGGCCCCCCCCCCAGCAACATTTCAGCGATGCATGCAGATGTGTTAAGACCTGTTTCTCGGAAAGTCCACATTTATCTATTTAGACGATATCATTATTACTAGTGATAATCTAGACCAACATGTACAGGATTTAAGACGGTTGTTTTTCTTTATTAAATGAGGCCGGTCTAAAAGTTAATGTCGAAAAATGCAAATTTGCAGCCCCTGAATTAAAATATTAGGTAGGTTACAAAATATATCGCAAAAAGGGATCGAGACAGATGAATCAAAAATAATCGCTGTACAAAAGTATCCGACTCCAAACACGGCAAAGAAGCTCTCTTCTTTTCTAGGACTTTGTTCATATTATAGGTCCTTTATAAAAGATTTTGCGGCTATCGCTGAGCCATTGTTAAAAATTAAAAAGGAAAAAGGCAAGATTCTCGTGGACGGGCCGAAGCCAATAGTGCTTTCGAAAAATTAAAACAAACATTAAACGCAAGCCCCTGTGTTGAAATTTCCTGAAAAGGATGAATGAAATTTAGAAATTTCAGCGGATGCTTCGGATTATGCGGTTGCGTAGTAGGAGCGGTACTTTCGCAAAATCAGCAGCCAGTGGCATTTTTTTAGCCGAACTTTAAATCAAACACAAAGAAACTATTCCGCGACCGAGAGGGAGGCACTTGCAGTTCTGTTAGCAGTACAAAAGTTCCGAGTCTATTTTGGAAAGGCGCCGATAACAGTATATTCTGATCATGCGGCGGTAACTAGATTGTACTCTGGAAAAAATTTATCCCCAGGTTAATAAGATGGGCACTCAAGCTGCAAGAATATAATCTGGTAATCAAGCATACCCCCGGAAAGGAAAATATATCGTAGCAGATGCCCTGTCACGAATTAAAATTAGACGAACAGGGTAATACCGTAAAAGTTGCAATGCTGACAGCGTGTACAATAAACAA